CTGTGTTAGACTCTGTGCTGGACTCTGTGCTGGACTCTGTGTTGTGTAGAATTAAGGACAGACGTTTGTCTAATGAATCTTCCCTCTCATTAATCTGATTAACTGATTGATTAATGACCTGCTGTGTTTCCTGTTTGTCAGACTTGACGTTTCTTCACGAGAGCTGTAAAACGTTTCACGGTGAACTCGTCAACTTTGAGAAAATGGTGAGTCGAAGTGTTCTGATACCAATGTTTCCACTTTGATTTGTTTCATAGATATATATTATTATACATTATTATACATTATTATATACATATAGAGATATATTATTCCACTGAGTGACAGATTTAAATATTGAACATGTGTCTTACTCCAACCAACTGAAACATGTTCTTCTTCTTCCTGCAGCATAAAGTGGCCGAGATGGTGAGGATCATCAGACGATACAGGAGCAGCCAGCTAGGTAACACACACACACACACACACACACACACTATAACATTATGTGATGGTTTTACCTGTTAATGCTATGACCTTTGACCTTCTATGTTTTTAACAGGCTTCATTCAGTTTTTATAAAGAGGCAGAAATCTCCCGCTGTGTTTTAATGTGATACTAATATCACACTGTAAAAATACTGTGTACAAAGGTATTAACAGGAAAACGAACCTAAACGGACACTACAGACAAAAATATTTTTTCAAAGAAAAAGCCCCAAAATATACATTTAGTGTTGATTTTATTTCAATTTTTCTGTTTGCGTTTGCAGATTTCACCAAAAGTTCAGATCATAATCAGATAATACCCAATTTACATATTTAAACATACAATTTCACAAAACTTAATTGTTTTAATGTAATAAAAGAAGAAAAGTTTCATGCTGTGCTCAGACTGATTTATAGCACATTTTATTACTAAAAACTTTATCCAACGTTCAGATTTCTGTTCTGGAAATGTATGAAAATTAGCACATTTTTATTAGATAATAATTAAATAATACCTCATTTGTATATTTAAACATAACATTTCAGAAAACTTGTAATACAAAAACTAATTTGCGTAATGTAAGAAATCAACTGAAGAATCTGTTCTGCCTTCACATTAAAATGCTTTTATTGTGAAGGAAGTGGCTGCCTTCCTCATTCTATGATGAACTTTGTCTCCATCTGGTGGCGTCAGTGTGTCACTGCAGCTCTGTGTGCTCTAACTGATTATATCTCTAACATCAGTGTGTTTTCTGTCTCTTCCTGTGTCCACCTGGTAGCCATGGATACGGAGACATCCCCGTCCCACCTGCAGACGAAGGCCTACGTCCGACAGTTACAGGTGATCGACAACCAGAACCTGCTGTTCGACATGTCCTGCAAACTGGAGCCCAAAGACACATAAAGGGACGGACAGGACGGACAAAAAGAGACTGAAAGAGACTGAAAACGAAGAAGAGGAGATTGGATGAAGAGAAAAGGAAGAGGAGGAGGAGGAGGAAGACAGGGAGAGGGATATAAGGAAGGAGTCTCACACTGGAACCAGAAACCTCCTCCTCCTCATCTACCTTCTTCTCCTCCTTCACCCTCCACTTTGACTGAGTTCTCATTTGCTTCTTCTTCCACTCTCCCTCCACCTCCTCTTCCTCCCTCATCCCTCCATCAGCAGCAGTCAAACACTGCCAGCAGCCCGACAACCACTGACACACAGAGACGCTCGGAGGGACCAAAAAAACGCCATGAGACGTGTTTTTCAGTTCACGGTCCAGTCGGAGTTTTAACCTCCAGATGCTTCAGCGACGGATCGGCTTCATTCTGCGGCGGCCATTTTATCCCTAAAGCCTGCTGGAACATTGTCGTAAAAGTCTGCGATCGTTTAACCGCCATTTCGTGGGAAACAGGAATTATACGGCATTGGCCCAAATATAAGACAGAATCTTTTCTGGGATTTTACGTTTGTGTTGTTTTAACGTTCACATATTCACGTAACATCAGATATTGTTGAACGGAGAAAGTGTTGCAGTGTTGCATTGTGGGTTCGTCAGCACTGAAAGTGTTTATGAAGCGAGTTGAGCGTGTCTTTACCGACTTCATCTGACAATCAGCCAAGAATTACTGCTCTTTATCAGTAATCATGTTCCTGATCCAAGTTAGTGCAAATATGAACCCAATCTCTAAAACATGATAAAAAAGAAAATACAGAAAAAAACAGGAAATATTTGAGGTATTGTTTTTTTTTTTTGAGCAAACTGAAAAGTAGGAGCTCAAAAAAAGTCTAAGAAATTATGAAGTCAGAAAATGTGTGTTTTTGGGAAAATTGGAGGACAAACAGTCTCTCAGTGTTTTAAGAAGTCTTAAAAATCGTCGTATATTTGGGTCAATGTGGTATTTCTGCGATGACGCACGTAAGCTTCTGTACGGGTCTACAGACAGAAGGGTGTTATGGGTAATTGTGTGTTGACACCAAAAAAATCAACAATCCAACTTCCTGTTTGGGAGCCAGATCTGAAACAAAACACCGGAACTGAACCCGGAATCTGTACAGGAACCGAAACCAACTCGTTAACGTCTCTGAACAACAACACGCAGACGGAGAAGCTTTTAAACTCACCTGAGGACGTAAAGACGGCGGCAGACGAACCGACAGACCCCCTCTCGTGGATTCCTGCTGTGCTGCAGTGGTTTTGTTCTCCAGGATATTTTCTCTGAGGTTGTGCAATCTCTGCAGGAACAAACACGAAATAAATTCAGTCGCACTGAACCTTCGTACGAACTTCGTGTGACACTGTGACGTCACAACACGAGTTTACACGTGCAGAAATGTGTCATCTGTATTTCCAGACTGAATATATTTTTCCATCAAATAACAAACTCTTTTACATATAAAGGACTCGACCATGTGGATCTGTAGCTGAACTCAGTTACGGTTGATTGTGGTTTACAGCAGTGGTTAAGGGCTGTTAGGCTGACCTCTGATCTGTGGTTTGTATCAGCTGCCATATTTCACACAGTGACTGAACCCAACAGTGACGATGCATTCACTGGACTTAGAGACAGTCTGGGACATCGGTCACGGTGCATTCATGGACACGTGGATGGAGGACGTTTCCTTGCTGGATCAGAGTGCGTAGATGCTGGTTTTCTACCGAACGTGATCTCAGTTTCAGTCTAAAGACACTCGGGTCTTTTCTGCTTTTTGTTTCAGAATTCACACCATGTTCACTTTAAAGGACCATACTGTGTTTTTGTATGTTTTAACCAGTTTTACTACAAATCAAGTATCATCAGTTTCCAGTGTGGTTTAGTCCCTCCCAGAGAGCTACAGGTGTCCACGTGGAGGTCAGACTGATATTATCAGATCTGTCCCGTAAATATCAGTTGATATATAACGTTGAGAATCTGTAGAAAAATGTGTTTAGGGTCATTACACAGTTTGTCCACCAGAGGGCTCAAACAAGTTTATTTATACACTATAAAAAGTCACAACTCTAAAAAAATTTTAGCATAAAATGTTACTTTAAAGTCCCAATATAACACTACCAGGCTCCATAGCTCCACCAAAAACTCCCAGAAAGTACCTTTCACAACCAAATTTAAGGGACTTTTATAAGAATTAAGAATAATTCTGTTTGTATTAAAATATCAGCTAATGGATTCTACCATCAACCGACACATCTTGTATTTATCAGCAGATAATAATTAGGACACATAAATGTTTGACTGTTTCTTAATGAAACAGGAATGCTGGTTGTTTTGTCCGGAGATCGACGAGTGGGCGGAGTCGGAGTAAACGGGCTAAAACATGCAAACACAGGTATGGTGCTTTAAGAAAGTGATGTGAAGTGGTTGAAATCAGCCAATCAGCTGTGTTACCCGGACGACATCATACCGGAGAGATAAATACAAACATACAAAAGAGTCAACAGGAGTTTTTCTTTTTTCTTCTCAGCGTTTGGGATCTAACTGCTGAACGACCAGCCGGCTTTGAAGGAAGGACCCGATCAGCCCCACGGAGCGGCCCCCCGCCATTGGTCGGCTCGGTGGATTTGGCGGGTCGGGGTCCGAGGCAATAACCGAGCGGCGGGAAGCAAAGCCGGTTGGTCAACTTATCGCAGCAACAAGCACTTTTGCCAAACCTCAGGGCTCAGAGACACAGAGAGGTTTTGTTTACTCTTTATTCTAGATTTTCAGTAGAGTTCGGTTCAGTTGAGTCCAGTTGTGTTGCGATCAATCGGTTCTGTGTTTGTACAGCTGATCACGCTTCAGTCATATTTACTATAATAATAGAAATCTACAGAGTTGTTGTTTTTCTGCTGTGATCACCACCAGGTCTGAGTCCAGCTGGTCCACACGGAAACATGGTTTTACTTTTGGTCTGATTCAGAGTCGCGTACACTGTAGAAACCTTCATCTGAAGTCATTTTGTCTGAGTCCCATCAGAGCTAATGATGAAGTGCGAGCTAATGATGTAGTGCTAGTTAACCCGCGAGACAGGGACCTGTTTCTAAAAAGCAATTTGTGAGTGTCAGTGAGAGAAATTTGAGACTCGAATGAGTCTCTCGTACTCATACATACTCGTCCACGGTGGCGAAGTAACGTGCTAATTAGTGAAACAGGAAGTAGTTTATGAATTAAACTTATTTCTTCACAGATCATGAAAATACTTGACTCAAGACAAAATGAATTACTACTGAAGGTTTTTTCTCGGTGCACTGAAGCGTTTCACTCTTCAGATGTTCAGTGAAAAACGAACGTATAGTTTCTTACCTGCGCAGTAAAAGCCCTCCAGCTGCTCACGAACATTTCTCTTTGCTCACAAACCCCGAGACTTCGAGAAAAGACCAAAATGTTGGAATGAGAGAAAAGCAGTTAAAGAAATAAAGTCTGAATTTTATGAGATAATTTGTAATATGATGAGATAAAGTCAGTATTTTCTGACAAATTCGTAACGTAATTTAAAAAAGAATCATAAGTTGACATAAAGTGATATTTCAATGACATAAAGCTGTAACATTTTGAGATTAATTACAGGATATTTATAATGATCCTCTGTCATTGTTCCTTGTCTGGAAGTCTTTTACAGCAGGTTGAATATTAAATTTTTAGCGAGACGTCCAGCTGATGTTTTGCTTTGTGGTTTGGAGGAAACTCTTCAGTGCATCACGTGCTTGTAAAAAAAGATTTCTGAAAATGTGTAAATGGTTTGAAAAATGTTGTCTGTGCTCAGCTCTGGTGGCCAGTGAGACTTTGTCATTCTCCATCTGTACCATAACATCCAGTTTATAAAAGCTCAGCGAGGCTGATCCCGTCCAGAGGAAAGTCCGCCTCCACATCAGAACCAGTTCACCAACCAGTCCAGGTTTCAGACCCAATAACTTTAATTAAATCAGTTTTATTTATATTTTGTTTTACAACCTGTCCAAATTAATCTTTGTTCAAAGACTAACTTAAAACTTATTGAGGTTTAAAGAACCAGTGTTTAGCTATCTTAAACTCACGGTTAGAAGTATTTAAGTAATGTAGTAATTTTATGACGATGATATCTGCTGTAAAGAAGTAGTCTGACATTTATCTTGAGCATTGCATTGTTTAATCATTCTGTAAGAGTTGCTTGAATGTTTTAACGACAAAGGATATCTGATGGGAGGAAAACTCACGACAGGAACGCAGATTTTGCCATTTCAGATTTTGAGCGACATGATGTGAACTGAGGCAGATTTATTCTGGACGGGACAAAACTCCTCCACTTTGATAAGACCTTTATAGACCTTATATCTTATTGTTTGTTTTCCAGAACTTTCCTAGAATTCTCAAGAACAAAAGTTCAAAGTACCAAAAAAGATTCAAGTTTAATTCTGACATCTGAGAAGAGAAGAGTTCGAACTCCCAAATTCACTAGTTTGACCACCCAAAACACAAGTTCAAACTCAAGAATATAAGTTTGAGTTTTAACTTCTGAGAACAACAGTCGAAACTCACATAGACACAATTTCAAATTCAAACTACAAATAAACACGAGTTCAGAAGTCCAAGAACCAAAGTTTGAACCCCCAAAAACACGAGTTATGATTCTCTGTATTAAGGTCTTGTCGAGGCGGAGATGATTGGTTTGGTCGGGTACAAAGTGTGAAACCCAGTGAAGATGACATCATCACTAGTCTGCCGGTGGCTCTCTCAGGACCACTTCCTGGGTGTCGGGCGGTTTATTATGGATCCCAGTGTAGTTCTGAGCAGAAACAGAAGACTTAACGAAATCTGAACCTAAACAAAGACAAATATGAACTGAGCAAACCTTCCAGGCTTTGGACCAATCGCGGCTTCTGCGTCTAATTCTGCTGGGATGCATAATTTCGGGAGGGAGGCGGCCTCTTGGGTCGAGGCCGTCTGCTGAGTTGCCCGTGTGAAAACACTGAAAAAATAAAAATGTGTACATAGTGCAACCCTGTAAATAGGCAAATACTAACGGAGACTCTATTTTATGTATGAGTGGAGAGAGAGAGTGACGCTAACTCAAGGAGAAATATTTGATTTGATGTTTTTTATTTGTAAAAGTGTGCGAAAAGTGTACAGTGACGATCCAAGAGAAAGAAATGATGATGAATTTATGACTTTATGAATTGTACAGTTAAATCTCTTCAGTTTGATTGTTCTGTTGTTTTCTATCTAAAGCTTGGGGTTGTTTCTGTTTGGGTTTTTTGTACAGAAGTGGTTGTTTACATCGATACAAGTCCTTATTTCTGTGAACAATGTGATTGGAGCACAGGCCTGGGGTGAGTGGGGCCTGGAGGTGGGCGGGGCCTGGATTCAGGCGGGGCCTGGTGGATTGGCGTCGTGTTACCGAAAATTTGGGGACAAATGAAGTCTGTACGATGGAGTAGTAGAGCGACTGGTAAAAGTCACACATTTGAGAACGACATCTAAATATTTTTTTAAAAGTTATAGTTTGAGTTATAATTGTGCAAAAATGAATATTTAAAAAATAAAGTCCTCTTTTTTTTTAGAGAAACAAGTCAAAATATTATGAGATTAATTTGTCGACATTTCCAGAATACAGATGTAATTTTATGAGATAAAAGCCATAAATCCCAATTTTGAGAAAAAGTAATTTAATGAAAGAAATCTTAATATTTCAACATAATGTTGGAATTTGACTAGAAAAAGTTGTAATATTAAGAAACTGTATTTTATTGGAGAAAGTTAAGTTATGAGGCCAGGTCTTTTTAAAAAAGTTGTAATTTTACAAGAAAAGGGTTAGGGTCAGTTTTACTAAAGTTATATGATAGAATAAAGACAAAATTATAAGAACACTTATTTCAAGAATATTCTTATTTTTGGGGGAAAAACTTAAATTTTAGAAGAAACAAGTTGTTATATTAAATAATAATTAGAATTTATACAAATCTCTGCTTTCAAAAGACTTTTTTTCTGGTAATATTATGACTAAAACTTTATTCTTGAATTCCTCTAACTTCTGAGTAAAATTACTAAATTATTTCATTTTACAATTAACTCTTCTACTAAAATTCCAACTGTATCTTAAAATTTTACAACTTTTGTCAGTTCTCTCTTAATCACATATTATTGTTTTTCCTACTTTATTTTTATAAAATTACAATTTTCTTCTATCTATGTGTTATTTTTCATGTCTTATTTTTATTATTATTGAATTTTTCTCAAACTTCCGAGCTCATTATTGATCAATGGCTCTGATACTCTGTCGTTACTGATGAACTTTATTATATTTATTCTCTGCAAAAACAATCTGAGGGAAAAATATTTAGTTTAAATTAATTTAAATAAAAACTGCAGAGGAGATAATTCAAGCTGATTTGAATGGCAAAAATTGAAAAACATAAAATGTTAAGATCAGAAACAGGTAGTTTAATGGTTTGTGAAACTGATGAATTATTGATTACTTTGCTTCTCTACTGATTGGAAACTCGGCTGAAATGATTGAAGGGGACAGATTTCCTCCAGACTTGTTGCTCCCTCTGCTGTCACACTACAGACACTGAAATAAAACCTCTGGACAACAACAGCTCTGCTTCACTCTCACTTCTCTCTGTACGTCTGTTAGAGTTCCCACTCATCCTGGAAAACCTGGACATTTACAGACAAGTTTTCTAGTCATGGAAACACCTGGAAATTGATTAAAATGACCGAATGTCCTGGAAATAATCTCTGTTGTCGCGTATGTAAATTAGCGAAACTGTATCAACCTGTAGTCCAATGTCCACCTACTGACCGCCGACCCGTAATGAACCTCAGACACTCATTGAAAAAGGAAGAATTACTGTAAAGTTAGACAAATGTGTAAACCAGGCTCCCCATTTGATGTTAAGACCGTTTGTGAGCAACCGCTGAGAAAGAAAACTCCTGGAAACTGATTTCTCAGAAAGAGTGGGAACCCTGGTCTACACTCAGCGCTAGTATTTAAAGTTATAAAGGACTTTCTAAACTAAGTGGTTAACGTTGTAAATAACATGCCTCCTAAATGTTAGCATTGTCATTGCAAATTAAGTTAGCATTTAGCTTGAATCACAATTGTACAGCCACACAGAGGGTAACCTGTTCACCATGTTGGCCATCTCAGTTTAGCACGTTAGCATGCTAACATTTGCTCATTAGTGCTGAGGCTGAATGTAACGCTGGAAGAAGTACTCAGATATTTTATATAAGTAAAAGTAGTAATACTTCAGTCTTTTACAAGTAAAAGTCAACATTTTACTTAAAGGTGCAGTGTGTTTGCCACCGACTGTTTAAATACCCCTCGCCTCATCCTCCCTTTCTAAGCGTGTAGGAGAAACTGGCGGCGAAACTCACAGTAAAAATGAACACCTGTATCTAGAGCCAGTGTTTGGTGGTGGCCTCCAAGAGGACATATTTATTAATATTATATAATCTATACTCCTAAATGTTACACACTGGACCTTTAAGTAAAAGTACAAAAGTATTTAAAAAAAGGACTCATATGATGGAATATGAGGAATATGATGTTATTGGATTATAATTATTGATGCATTAATGTGTTCATCACTTTAAAGCTCATTTTAATGACTTTATTAACTGCAAGTAGTTTGTGAATTTTTTCCAGAATCAATAAAGTTTTATCCTGTTATAATACATCATTATTTATTAGGACCATATTGAAACTGCTATAGGATTATTATTAGTTTGAACCACAATGAATCGTATGAAACCCAGAAGTAAGCCTTGTATGGCAATCACCATCTGATTTATATGAAATTTTCACATTTCACCGATATGTATGAAAGTTAGTCGGCTCATAGATCGCAACTAGACGTACAACAAACCCTCCTGGACCGATCCACCAAACCCAACAGGAAGTTAGCCATTTTGAATTCAGTGGTGATTTTTGCAGATTTACACACACATTTTAATGAATTTCTCCTCAGGAATTAATCGGATCAACTTCAGATTTGGTCATTGCGATCTAAAGACAATCACAATGAAAATATTCAGTGTTCATTGAACACCATGTCTTGACTGAACTTTGTCCAATCGGCCTCAAGCTTCACACATTTGATAAGAGTCCTGCCCTGAACACACCTACATGGTGGACTGGAAACAGGAAGTAAACCCAGACGCGTGCAGACTGCAAGGATTCGTTCTTACAGCTTCAACCCGTCAGTTATATTTTGTATCATTTATCAGAATCTGCAAAATAACAACAAACTAACATCAGATAAAAAGAGTAAAAAGTAGAAAACGGAAATACTCAAGTTAAGTAACTAAGTACTTTAAAATTGTACTTTGCAAACTGCAAACCAAAATATTGGACATATGAATTTATCCGGAAGGAAACTTTAATGTCTGACCTACATTTGCATCCATACAATAGTTGTTGAGGTATTTCAGTCTTACACACACGCACGCACACACAACATAAAGAATATTCTGGTATATGTGAGTGTGCAAACTCTCCTTCTGTACATTAATCTCTCTCTCTCAACTCTATTTCTTGTGCTTTGATGTATTTGTTTTCCTTCTATTGAAAGCAGGAAAAGGGATCAGTAACATTAGAGGCCACACAGCTGTGCAGGTTTCTGTGGTCCAAGTGCATCGCAATGCAAGTTGGATTGAAGTCTCCAGTGAGTGCGTGTGAGAGGGGAGGTGTGTTTTAATTTCTGCTGATAGGGTCTCTGCATCCCCCCCCACAGGACCGTATACTGGACCAGTGTCCACCCCCAGAGAGGACAGCTTTCCATCCCTGATTAGGAAGAGGTTTATATTTAGGGTCAAATTTGGGGGAAGGGTGAAGGTTGGAGCTGCAGATTAAAGGCATTCAGTGGATAGTGTTGGAGAGTGCTGTAGTCATGCAAACACAGAGTGTGTGTGTGTGTGTGTGTGTGTATGTCTTACAGTCCAAGTTCAGTTATTATAAAACAGGTGCAGGACGAAACCGTTATCCCCCTTACATAATGCATTACACCTCTTAACTTTACATTAGAGGGCGGGGGGACCGTGGTGGAAAGTATTCAGATCCTTTAGTAAGAGTAAAAATACTCCGTCACATGTAAAAGTCCTGCATTCTGCAAGTGCCAGAGTACGATCAGCAGAGGTAGTGTAAAAGTCCCTACTGTGCAGGCAAACTAATGTATAACTGCATGTTATACATTATACTATTTGCACAGTTCATCAAAATGACAATGTGTCCAAATGCAATATGCAAATAACAAGAAGTAAAATAACATGATTTTAGTGATGCAAAAATTATGATTTGCAATAATTGTGAATCATATCTAAATATCATTTAAAATAATCAAATACAAATGTGAAATGTTTTACCGTACCATGCAGCAGCAATTTGCATATAAGCTAAGCTGATACTAAGAAAACAGCACTGTAAATGTCTTTGTTAAAAAGGATAAAGAAATAATTAGGGTTGTGCAGAATTAAGGTTGTTTTTTGGGGTCAGTTCAGGTACTGGGTGTAACTATATCAGCCAGTTGTAATAGAGTAGAAGTATTTAAGTAGCATAAATTTACTTCAGTACTATAAAAACAAACTATTTAAGATTACACCCCCACTCATATTGTCCCCCTATTTAACAACATAGGTCAAAGTTAATACATTTTTGTTTTAATATGTAGTTTTATTTCAAAGATCAACCTCTAACTTCACCATCAGCCGCACAGCAACAGAACCTTACACTCTCTGATTGGACGTTTCTGACAGCAATGCTTTCTGGGAGTCGTAGTTCGGAGTAATGATGGACAGTAAGGTTGTTTGAACATTTGAACATTTTTACCAAGAATGGAAATAAAAACATTTTATATGAAAAGTTTCGTCCAGATAAAAATATTTCGCCTCCGACCAAATGTGGAGTCAGTCTGTTGGACTCGAGCAGCAGGTCTGAACACCTGATATCTGACTGACGGAGGGAAGCAGCAGGTGATTGAGTTTGAACTGAGGGTCAAACATGGCCGTGCTGACATGACTGAGCCTGTGCCAAACACTGACTGTATGTGACTCATTGTATGGAGCCCCAAAGCTGCCACGTTTCACTACATCAAGTGCTCAACATGCTACAGACGCTGCATATCCAGAACTACGGAAGCTTATTGTTGCCACATAAAAATATAACAACAAATATTTACAGTATATTAAAGTTGGTTTACAAGAAAAGAAAAAAGACAAAAATAAATAAAAGTAGTTATAAAATAACACCAACCAGACTAAATGGAAAATCATCATATCATCATATGGTATTTTTATAGGGCAAAACTGTTTGTTTTGATGGTAAAAAAATCTCTGAAAAAAAAATCTGTATTTATACAGTAAAATATGGATTAAAACTTAACAGTACTAATGTTCTTTTACTGTAATAGTAGAAAGAACACTACTGTATATGTTACGGTAAAGCTGTTTTTCTTTTTATAGTGGATCAAGAAAGGGGTCCCATAAATGTAGAAAAGATATCTTTTTCACTTTAGTGATTTTTAGAAACGGAGGACATTTGTAAACGTTCTCACTTTCCAACAGCGTTTCACTCTCGTCATCTCGAACTGAAGCCAGCGGTCAGAGAGATAAATTACACTGTGGAGAGGATTCAACAGATCTGTCAACCAGTGACACAGATTCTGCCACTTATACTGCGCACGCACACACACACAC